TACCTTGTTGGTGTTAAATCTGTGTTGTTTTTCTTAAACTGAAATAGAGCTTAGGTTTCTTGTCACCAAAAAACCTAACAGAATGCTTATTTTTAAATGGTAACAAGATATGTGACAGTTAAAGGTAGATAGCATTGAGAATAAGCCACAAACTAAACAAAAAAAGTTTCTTAATTTCAAGCTTTTGATTTCATCCCAACCTTAAAAGCTCCAAAAATATCTCTCATTTGCTGACACATTATTCATGCATTAATGGAAAGCATAGGATGATGGATCACAAATTGCAATGCCTGTAATAAATGCAAATTTACGATACATGATACTAGTAATTAGTGAAAAGTTCCAAGGGATAAACCTGAGAATAACTTTCTCCCCTTCCTGAGGAGCTCTCTGGGAAATCAACACTGGGCATGTTACTACTCAATAAAGGGCTATCATGCACCAGTGTTTCTTTTAGAGGACTACTAGCTGATACACTCTTAAATGAAAATACTTGTGATGAAAGGAAAAATTGTGTATCCCCCTGCGCAACTTCAATTTTAATTCTGTACAGAGCTTGACCTGCAGATGGTCTAACATCTTCCCAAACCCTACCATACTTCAGCTTTTCACCTTGTTGAGACCGCCAAGCTACTATTTCACCAGAATAAAAGGGCCTGAGTGGATGGAACTGCACAAGACGTGCATCCTGTGGCAATATTTCCTTGCCAACCATATTGCTACTCCCATTTATAGGTTCAACTTCTTTCTTATCAGAGCAGAGTTTTAAAACATTAACAACAGCAATCTCAGATCCTTCAGGACAACCAAATAAGGGCCCAACAGGCAATATGATTGGAGAGCCTAATACCTGACTGACTATAATGGCAATGAGATCAAAAAGAGAAATATAAGTTGGTGGTTCAGCAACTAGAATACAGGATCTTGATTGGTTCAAAAAATAAAGAGTTTGATGTGCAGAATCATTCTTCCACCCAGGGATGCTAAAATCTTTGCCTGCACGTGTAACATCTACAAAATTGGGCAATAGCAGAAATTTTGTTTTAAGACACTTAACAAATTGCATCTTTTCCGCAGTAGAGTTCAATATGCATTCTATTGTATCTAATGAAAAACTATTGAATGCAGGAATGTAACTGCCCATGCTTTTAACAATGGTCCAGACAGCAGTTTGAAGAGACTTGCTCGATAACTTCTGTTTGAGGGTCACCAGGAAAACAGACCCCAGAGAACCCAAAGTCTGTAGTGCGTGATCCTCATCTAGTTCCTGTAACCAAACAGAAACATTCCAGTAAGTAAAAGCCTATAGCAGACAAAAGTTAGATAACAATAAATAGGAAAATGCTCCTGAAATCTTGCTACCTCTACGACAATATCAGACAATTTTTTGATGCCGAGCATGATACATACTCTCTCAGGAAGATCTGCATGAACAAATCTAATCCTGGAAGTATCAATACATTTTACATATCGAGAACCATAAGAATCCACATAGACACAGGATCCTGAATGAACAAGTCTGCAGCCATCATCTGGAACTATGGCTTCTGATTTCCAGTTTGACCCATTCAATGTGTTCCCCTCAACAATTTGATCACAGATGAAATTCAAAATTTCCATCACTGCACGGAGCTCATTGGGGTTTAGTCGCTGATATCCACAAGCTTTCTGAAGATGTAATAGAAGACCCTTTGCAGCAGAGAGTGTTAACATGTCCTGGAGTCCCAAATCTTTAAGAATCTTTACAAATGGGAGATATGCAGTAGGAAGCTCAAAAGCAAATGGAGACAAATTTATCATCAGACGAGCAAAAAGAGCATCAGCAGTCACAAGGCGCGTTCCATTTGCAACAGGAAGAAATGCCACTTTGCGTAGCTCTGCCACATCTGCAATAGCACAAGTAATTAGAAATTCCATGTAACAACCTAAGCAAACCTGCTTAATCAAATGAACAGAATGATTGGAGGTTCACAGGAATATGGTAAGCCAATTGGTCATATATTAAGTGCATTGAGTAAGAAGAATCAGAGATAAATACAAAAAACATATCAGTCACACCCTTTCTACTCAACCCTTAGCAAAATGGAATAACATGAGAATAGAGAAGAACCTGAGGAAGAAAGTGAACCCCAAATTTTGTCTAAATATTTCAAAATTTCACAGGTACATTCCTCAATGTTCATTCCTGAAGCAATGGGCCAATGAGCAAGAGTGTCTTCCCCTCCATTTCTCCCAATTACCTAGGAAAAAGAAAGCTAGCATAAAATACGTGTAGGTAAGTAATGTAATATAAAACATAAACCAAAAGTATCATTTTTACTTGCAAGTGCTTCAAAACTGTACAAAAAGCAGGAGGACTCCGTAAATGCAGAGGCCCCCACGAGTACTCTGGAGGAACAGTGTGTTGTTTGGAAAGAATAGGAGCACAACTCCAAGCCAGAGGCCAATCTTTAGACAAAATAGCTTCATTATACGAAGCAAGCACCCTCTTGCAACCGACATTAGGAAACCCCAGTTCAGCAGGTACACATGCAATCTTGCTAAGAAGATCACAGAAGTTGTTGCTAAAGAAAAGAGCAAAGTTGGAGAAAACAAATTCAACTACAGAACCTCCTAATGCCCACACCTCTGGTGAAACTTCAGAATGACTGTTTATTATGTCTGTCTCAAAATCATCCAAATCACCTGATTTCATGCACTCAATTCCAAGAAACTCAACTCTTTTGGCACATTCAATTATTACCTCTACCTCCGTAGCAGTCCGAAGCCCAAGTTTCCTTAGTATTCGAAGCCACCCATCTGTGTTGAACCTTTCTCCTGGAAATTTTCTTCTCTCACCAAAGAATATAGAGATTAAGATAGCATCACCAGGATCAAATAAATCTAATGGTTTCAACAGATCAGTCGAAAACTCATCAGAATTTCTAACAAATTTAGTTTCTTTCAAAGCTTCAACCACCAGCTGATCTGATTGAAGATCATGCCAATTTTTAAAAATATGTATTAATATTTCCTCCTGCTCATTCTGAGATTTTCTTTCAAAGCCGGGTAAGCCAAAGCGTACTAAGATCTGTTGATCATGCAACTCCAGCACTCCAAGGGCTCGAAGAAATGAACTTTCATTTGAATCAGTGGCACATGAAAGACAACGCTCGTCATATGGTTTTAAAAATGAATTTGAAGGGATCATGCATTGATCTTGACCTTGCAACTTAGTATAAGAACCAACAACTGTTTTATATATTGGGACAGAACGCAAAGCTTCAATTTGTTCGTGGGTATAATGAAAGTCATTGGAGAAGAATTCATCAGAAAAGAGTGAAAAAAGTGCATCGCAATTTGAAGTTGAGAGATTAGTTGGTTCAGTGAAATACCCAGCTTGCTTAGCTGCCACAAGTTTGGATGCAATGACATGGCCCAAAGATTGACCCGACATAGAAAAACAATTGCTTGAAGCAGCACAATCGATAAATGCCTCATCAAATATGGGTATGTTACACTGGTTTAACATTGGCAGTAACCAGGGATAATTGGTTTTGAATCTTTCAAAAGCTGAAATATAGGACTCTGCTAAGTCAGTTTCAGAAGTATTATCCCTTGGCACCCTAACACCACTCACATAACTTTCAGCAGATTCATTTTCTGAAATCCCACTTGTCGAATTTGAGTGCTCCAAAAGAGGAGGAATGAATACCAGATGCCGCTCTCTAACACGGCACAAGACTGGCCTACCAAGAAATGCCGGAATTAGGGGCCAATCAGAGAAAAGGGATAATTCTTCCTCTGAGCCCCTAAACCTTTTCCAAAATGTTCTAATCCATTCAGGTGAAGGACCCCCTTGACTTCCAGAACTAGGAAGTTTCTCCCAAGAAAGCCATGGAGCCATATTCGATCCCATTACATGGTTCACCCAATCTTCATGGAAAATTTGTTTCATATGATTGGCCAGTAAATTAAGGGAGAAGTTTTGCAGCTTTAATAGAGACTGGAGGGTAAAATTAGAAAATATGCCACCTAAGAGAGGCCTGTCTATTAGTTTAGAATGAATAAATTTGTCTCCCAAGGGAAGCATCAATGACTGTTGCTCTTTATTCCCAATCCAAAGTTCATTTAAGCCCAACTTTTTTAAATTGCTAGTTCCAGTTGGAAATGGTAAGCCTTTGAGTTCTGAAGCAATTAATATGAACTTTTCGTCCCTACTTTGACCAATGGAAGTCATAGCATTACTGTAAGACCCAGGTGCTCCTGATCTACCAATGTCCTCAACAACACCCCGACCAAAATCAAATAAAGCCTTCCCTAAACTTGTCATCATTTCCAATGCATCTCCAGAACTGGCTTCTCCCCGAGTAGTGGAGCCTGGAATATTACGCTGAAAAGAAGTGATTCTGTGGATATCAATTTCTCGGGAAAAAGCATTGGAAGTATCAGGATCATTATCTTTGGCTGAGGTGGATGACTCTGCTTTCTGAAAATCAGACAAGCAATATTCAAGAACATCTATATACGTGTCAACTGATTGCAGAGTAAATGGCTTTGAAGAAACCTTTAGGAGATCCCTAACCATTTTTGGTCTAATTTCTCGCACTGAAAAACCGACAGCTTGGATTTCAGTCACCAATTCCCACGGTACTGAAAATACAGGATAATGCTCCTTTACAAAGCTGCAAACTGTAGCTGGAAGCAAATTACCAATCAANCCCCAAATTTTGTCTAAATATTTCAAAATTTCACAGGTACATTCCTCAATGTTCATTCCTGAAGCAATGGGCCAATGAGCAAGAGTGTCTTCCCCTCCATTTCTCCCAATTACCTAGGAAAAAGAAAGCTAGCATAAAATACGTGTAGGTAAGTAATGTAATATAAAACATAAACCAAAAGTATCATTTTTACTTGCAAGTGCTTCAAAACTGTACAAAAAGCAGGAGGACTCCGTAAATGCAGAGGCCCCCACGAGTACTCTGGAGGAACAGTGTGTTGTTTGGAAAGAATAGGAGCACAACTCCAAGCCAGAGGCCAATCTTTAGACAAAATAGCTTCATTATACGAAGCAAACACCCTCTTGCAACCGACATTAGGAAACCCCAGTTCAGCAGGTACACATGCAATCTTGCAAAGAAGATCACAGAAGTTGTTGCTAAAGAAAAGAGCAAAGTTGGAGAAAACAAATTCAACTACAGAACCTCCTAATGCCCACACCTCTGGTGAAACTTCAGAATGACTGTTTATTATGTCTGTCTCAAAATCATCCAAATCACCTGATTTCATGCACTCAATTCCAAGAAACTCAACTCTTTTGGCACATTCAATTATTACCTCTACCTCCGTAGCAGTCCGAAGCCCAAGTTTCCTTAGTATTCGAAGCCACCCATCTGTGTTGAACCTTTCTCCTGGAAATTTTCTTCTCTCACCAAAGAATATAGAGATTAAGATAGCATCACCAGGATCAAATAAATCTAATGGTTTCAACAGATCAGTCGAAAACTCATCAGAATTTCTAACAAATTTAGTTTCTTTCAAAGCTTCAACCACCAGCTGATCTGATTGAAGATCATGCCAATTTTTAAAAATATGTATTAATATTTCCTCCTGCTCATTCTGAGATTTTCTTTCAAAGCCGGGTAAGCCAAAGCGTACTAAGATCTGTTGATCATGCAACTCCAGCACTCCAAGGGCTCGAAGAAATGAACTTTCATTTGAATCAGTGGCACATGAAAGACAACGCTCATCATATGGTTTTAAAAATGAATTTGAAGGGATCATGCATTGATCTTGACCTTGCAACTTAGTATAAGAACCAACAACTGTTTTATATATTGGGACAGAACGCAAAGCTTCAATTTGTTCGTGGGTATAATGAAAGTCATTGGAGAAGAATTCATCAGAAAAGAGTGAAAAAAGTGCATCGCAATTTGAAGTTGAGAGATTAGTTGGTTCAGTGAAATACCCAGCTTGCTTAGCTGCCACAAGTTTGGATGCAATGACATGGCCCAAAGATTGACCAGACATAGAAAAACAATTGCTTGAAGCAGCACAATCGATAAATGCCTCATCAAATATGGGTATGTTACACTGGTTTAACATTGGCAGTAACCAGGGATAATTGGTTTTGAATCTTTCAAAAGCTGAAATATAGGACTCTGCTAAGTCAGTTTCAGAAGTATTATCCCTTGGCACCCTAACACCACTCACATAACTTTCAGCAGATTCATTTTCTGAAATCCCACTTGTCGAATTTGAGTGCTCCAAAAGAGGAGGAATGAATACCAGATGCCGCTCTCTAACACGGCACAAGACTGGCCTACCAAGAAATGCCGGAATTAGGGGCCAATCAGAGAAAAGGGATAATTCTTCCTCTGAGCCCCTAAACCTTTTCCAAAATGTTCTAATCCATTCAGGTGAAGGACCCCCTTGACTTCCAGAACTAGGAAGTTTCTCCCAAGAAAGCCATGGAGCCATATTCGATCCCATTACATGGTTCACCCAATCTTCATGGAAAATTTGTTTCATATGATTGGCCAGTAAATTAAGGGAGAAGTTTTGCAGCTTTAATAGAGACTGGAGGGTAAAATTAGAAAATATGCCACCTAAGAGAGGCCTGTCTATTAGTTTAGAATGAATAAATTTGTCTCCCAAGGGAAGCATAAATGACTGATGCTCTTTATTCCCAATCCAAAGTTCATTTAAGCCCAACTTTTTTAAATTGCTAGTTCCAGTTGGAAATGGTAAGCCTTTGAGTTCTGAAGCAATTAATATGAACTTTTCGTCCCTACTTTGACCAATGGAAGTCATAGCATTACTGTAAGACCCAGGAGCTCCTGATCTACCAATGTCCTCAACAACACCCCGACCAAAATCAAATAAAGCCTTCCCTAAACTTGTCATCATTTCCAATGCATCTCCAGAACTGGCTTCTCCCCGAGTAGTGGAGCCTGGAATATTACGCTGAAAAGAAGTGATTCTGTGGATATCAATTTCTCGGGAAAAAGCATTGGAAGTATCAGGATCATTATCTTTGGCTGAGGTGGATGACTCTGCTTTCTGAAAATCAGACAAGCAATATTCAAGAACATCTATATACGTGTCAACTGATTGCAGAGTAAATGGCTTTGAAGAAACCTTTAGGAGATCCCTAACCATTTTTGGTCTAATTTCTCGCACTGAAAAACAGACAGCTTGGATTTCAGTCACCAATTCCCACGGTACTGAAAATACAGGATAATGCTCCTTTACAAAGCTGCAAACTGTAGCTGGAAGCAAATTACCAATCAATCCATTCCCCGGCTGTGAAAGAAACATGCCTTCGTCAGCCTTGACCAAATTTCCTGAGTACAGCTGCCATACTGGAAGGTCAACAATACGAGAATAAAATGGATGTATTACCCGGTCTTTAAGGCATTCCCAGTCTGCTTTAAGAACAACTCTTGGTGGACTTGGAGGGTTGTCATCATGATTAGCTTGTTGATCAATCAGAACTTTCCTCTCACAAGATCGAGGCCAGAAGGAGTAGATTTGATCTCCATAAGCCTTCAAAGAGCGACTGATTGCAGAATAGGCACTCGAATCAAATAATGAGCTTGGAATATCTCTTCTTAGCTTCTGAATCTCCAAAACCATTTCAACATAGGAATCACATACACAAGACATCACCTCTCTGTTCCAAGATTCAATTAATTGATTTCCGGCATCAAAGTGTCCCTGAGTAGAAGCCCCTCTGTCTTGGTATTTAAAGAGATAACGACCCGTATTGTGACACACAAGAAAACAACCTATGATAGTGACAGGTAAGTTTATACAACCAGACAAAGGAAGAGGGGCCATAATTGAGCTCCTTGAGAAATCATTGGCATGATAGCCATTGCTGGATATAAGTGCTGCTATTCCAGCAACGGGAGTCAAGTTGTATGCAAGATACCTCCTGAACAGAAAAAAAAAAAAATTTGAATTTTGATAGATATTCCCAAACAAAACAAAACTGTTCATGCAGATAAAACAGTAAATATGGAACATAAAACTTCAATCATTACGCTTGAATGAGTTTCAAAATAAACTAAGACTTGGTTACTGTCCTTCCAACTCTAATGAAAAGCAGGACTAAAGAATGACAAAAGCTTCAGTATGACCCTCCCCCTCACAAGCAACCACAAGACAAAGAAGCAATGTGCAAAGCCAAGGAGTTTTTTGCCAAGAAATAAAGAAACCATGGAAAATAGTTCCACATTCATAAACTTCTGTGTTTCTATGGCTTTTTTGTATTGTTAGAGAAAAAGTGCTAGATAATCCTCAACTGCTCCATCGAAAGTAAAAGTTTTTCAAGTTTATAAAAGGAAAATGGCAACCAAGTTATTGTAAAGCATTGACACAGATCATACAAAAGTTATTGTAAGACATCAACATGAGTTTTTGACATCCATGCAATTCAAATATAACCATACCGATCAAGAGCCATATTTCTGGTTTGCCCAGAACCCAAGCTGAGTGCAACAAGCCATCTATCAATGACTGTAGTTCCTTCTGAATATAAATTCACATCAATTACATGCATCTTTATCATCGCATTGGAGCTGCTAAATATTCTTGATAATTGAAACTTTCTCCATTTCTTTTCAGAAAATGGATTCCTCAAAATAGAAGATGATGGGTCAATGCTTATAGAAAAATTCCGCCTTGGATTAGAATGTCCTTCTTCCCACGTTGATATGGATACCTAGAAGAAATGCAATTTCACTCTGGCTCAATAGAATCATGAAAATGTTCCAGACAAGAGTCCTCTCATATGGTAGAAATTACAAGTAAGACATATTAAGTATACAGGTGTTTTGTATGAACAATTTTCTAACAATAGTAGATGATAATGAGTCATAATAGAGATAAGCCATCCACAACTATATAGACACATGCACATGTACCAGAATCATAATTACTCTTGATATTCTTCCTAAAAAAGTAGTCCTTGATCAGATCTGTGTTAAACAGTTAATAGCCATGTAATTAGTACTTGTTAGAATATGTATTATATAGATGTAGTTGGTATTTAATGTAGGTGTTGTTCGTCAGCTTGTCATAGGGAGTTGCTCGCACCGAAGCAAGCTAACAAATTAACAGAGCTACTCAATCTCACAGCAAAATCTCGGCAAGTGGTTAACAGTGACCATGCAAATATACGTCCAAAAGCACTTATACTAGTTCCCATCTTAATTCATCATGGTATGGATAAGATAGACTATGGAGCATAATAAACGTGTGAGACTTCCAACTCCACTTAAAACCAACAACTTTCACCTTTAACTATTAGTCCCTTTCACACATTGTAACCTCACCCCACTGGAAGCCTTTTCTCCTACATTTTCCCCATAGACAGTGCCAATTTTTGGGATCTTCGAGGGAACCATCAGCGAGATCTTGACTAAAGAGCTAGGAACCAACCTCACAAGGCACCAAGACACACTCTATACCCAAAACCTTAATACATGGGTATGTGGGTCTTTCTCCATGTATATTTGCTCATCTTCCTCCTTTTCACCTCCCAAATCACATTTGAACACTCAAGTGAGTTCCTTCCTCACATTGTAAGTTTCATAAAAAACCAAATCCATTTCCCCCCAAAGAGCATTAGATTTTCACCACATCAAATCACCAGAATTTCTTGCTTGAATTTGTCACAACCTAATCTAGCATGCATGGCTCATTCACATCCCATAAACCTCAACTCAACCAAATACCTCCAAACAAATATTTCCCCACATTCCATGTGAACATTTAATTCCCCAAGTTCTATCCCGAATCCCAAAGAAAATCTAATTTCAACCTGTTAAATCCCATTTGTTTGCCTTGCTGCATGAAGAAAGAACAGTCACTAAATTTACCTGTAAAACGGACGTCTCGAAACCAGGAGTGCTTAGATCCATGCTCATCCAGAATGTCAATCATTGCCTTATTCTGTTTGATCCAAGGTCAGGTTCATCCTTCAAGCAATCAAATGATAAAGGCATCCGAATAATGGTAGAATCAGCTAATGACCACAAGTCCAGTCTGCTCAATGAGCATTGGACTAAATTGATCACAAAATCGTTGAGTCAGATCATTACCTGCAACCTCAAGAGTAAACAACTTTATTGTTCTACAATTGTATAGGAATTTGGCTATTAGATTTCAAAATTAAATAAGAGAATACTTATGAACTTTTATTTTATAAAAAAATACTCCACATAAGGGAGAAGTACAAAAGTAACACTACGAAAATGCATATTAAAATCAACTTAAATCAAGAATACTGATACCAAAAGGCTTTCCAATCTTGAAGCATAGCCAATAGGGTACCTCTCATAAGTAACCATTAACTAACCACCATGAAAAGGATCAAAGAATATTACTCAAAAAACAAAAGTTTTGGAAGTTGCTTTACAATTTAGGAACAATTAACCTTTGCAACGACTAACCATGACAATAACCAGCTACTCACTAACCACTGTTTGAACATTATTAACCAAGTCAGGGATTATTCAGTTCCAAAAGAAAAAAATAATTTAACAAAGATTTTTGCTAAGACAAATAAAGTATAAACTTTGAGGGCTTCAATGAACTTGACGGACGGGTAAAGAGAAACAGAAATATTTCAATGAACTATTGCCATTAGTCTTGCATTTTCTCTTCTCTGACTTGGCTCTGTT